TTTTGTTATATTTCTCATCCATTTCTATACTCATTTCTTCAAACTTTTTGTTATACTTCTCGACCAGTTCCTTAAGGGAGTTATTCATATCCTGTTTAAGGGACTCTATTGCTTTCATAATGGCACTTTTTTCCACTTCATCTGGGGTAGAGTGTTCAAATCCTTCTGTTGTAGGGTCATTGGGATCTGATATTTTCATGTTGTTTTCCAGATTGTTGGAGGAGGTCTTGCCTTGGCGTCTGCCCATCTCTTCGATCAAATGCTCTCTATTGGAACTTCTGGTATCGGGTCAGGTTCCCTTGTTGGGCAGGGAGTTCACTGAAAGAATGCCTACCTTTCCCCAAGCAGGGTATTGAACCACAGGCACTGCCTCTTTCCGGGATGCCCCTATAGAGCAGGCCCAGTGTGCAAGGCAGCTGAGCTGGGGAAATTTTATGGGCTCAGTGGGAGGGGAGAAATATAGAAATTTGTACCTGGATGGAAGCTGGGATGGCAGGTGGGAGAGCCTAGCAGGGTGGAAACAGCACTGCAGGCTGACCTGGGAGTCTATGGGGTCGGGGAGAGTCCTAGCTCCCCCTCGCTGGGCCCGCGGGGACCCGAATCAACTCACCACTCCGAAGGCCCTCTGGATAGAAGCCTATATATTTTATTTATTATCAGGGGAAAACTCATGGAACAGAAATTAGAAGTCCAAGCTCAGCTGTGCCTCAAGGGAACCACACACAGAGTGAGTACACCTGGGCCATGCTCCCGTTTTTCTCTGGATCCCAGAAAGCCTTCATGATTGTGGTTTATGATCCCACCCCTTTCCTCAGCTGTTAAAAGGGAACTTAAACGCTGCTTACAGTCACTCCAGGTAGGTTGGGGGCTAAAGAAAATACTTTCCATATAAACAAATATGAAAATAATGAACCAAACTAGATTGTGTTAATAAAAAATTGATACTTTCTGTGCAAAAAAAAAAACTAAGTTGAAATAAAAGTTTAGGTTGAGGTCACACCAACATTTTATGAAATATATGTATATTATGAAAGGGGAAGAATATGATCAAATATATCTGAAATTGAAAATTGTTTTAAATAATGAAAAGTATAACAGTAATGATTGCAAACAAGAATTCTATGACGTGTGCAGAGACTTCAATGATGTTTGTCCTTGTTATTTTCCTGCCTAACATGGCTATACCCCTACTGAACTGATATTGCAGGTTCTATTCCCTGAACTGTTATTCCACAACGCCCTTGAAAACACTCCCAGGCAAAATGCTAACAGGCCTCTAGATATATGAACTCACATGTCAATGCTCCCCTAGACAACCACAAAAAATGTCACCTGTAACTTGAAACTTTCAAGCACAAGCCCAGATTTAGTAGTTCAGCATATTTTCAGATGTGGAAGGCTACTCAGCTAGATGATTTTCTGGATATTTGACCAATGCTGTAGATGTGAAAGTCTTCCATATCCATATCCCATCTTTGCAGCCCTTCTTCAACTACTTGTCAGTTCCCAGGACAACAGTAAGTATTTTAAAAGCACAAAGCCTAAATAAGATGCTTATATAATGCTCTCTGAGGCTCGGGATATATTTCAGAGGAAGTGGCAGAAAGTATGTTGGAGCATAAAGATTGGATGAAGCAATACAAAATGCCATACTATATGCTTTATATGAAACTACTGAAATTGGTAACTACAAAGAACTGTAGTTGCCTACACTGGTATCAAAAAAGACTACCAAAACTCCAGTATATGCAGAGGAAACAAGTCCCACTGTCATTGTCAATGGCTTTTCAGAAAGACCCCGTGCCAGCCAAATTCAGAGAATCCGGTCACATTCAGAGAATCTGGTTGAATCACGTGCTCGTTCAGTCCCAGTCCAACTGGCCTTGGTGAACTCTCATTAGATCAGTCCCCTTGTATCAGTGGGAGAATGAACTCCTCACGGTCCTGCCTTTCTTGTTCATGTTCTCCCTTTTTCTGCTCCTTATTTAGACCTTGGGGGCTCAGTCCAGTGCTCCAATGTGGGTCTCTGTCTCAATCTCCATCCATCAACGGGTGAAGGTTCCCTCTGGTCTTGCCTTCTTTGCTCATGTTCTCTTTCCTTCTGCTTCTCGTTTGGACCTAGGGAGTTAAGTTCAGTGTTCCAATGTGGGTCTTTGTCTCAATCTTCATCCATCGCCAGATGAAGGTTCTGTGGTGATATGCAAAATATTCATCAGTATGGTTATGGGCCAAGGCCGGTTCAGGCACCCTCTCCTCTGTCCAGAGATCAATCTGGGGATCTCTCCTTGGACTTGGGATCCCCTTTATAATCAAGTCTCTTGTAAACCCTAAAATGACTCCCTTAGTTGAGATATATACTTCCCTGATTCCATATTCATCCTTCTTCCCTCCCCCCCATCCCAATCCCCCGAGCTTTCCCCATTCCTCCCCTACTCTCTTCTCTCTAACACTCTCCCCTACCAACAACTCCCCACTCCCCCATTCACCCGAGGTTGCCTGGCACTCTTGTGTACTTCCAATCTCGAGGAGGATAACTACATGATTTTCTTCAGGTTCACCTTCTTATTTAGCTTCTGTAGGATCACGAATAATAGGCTCAAAGTCCTTTAATTATGCTCGCCTTCCTGGACCTGGAGGGAGGGGTAAGAACTTGAACTTCCCACAGGGCAGGAAACCCTGACTGCTCTTAGGGATGGAGAGGGTGGAGGAGAGGGAGTGGGGGAGTGGGAGGGTGTTGGGAGGAGGGGCAGAAATGGAAACTTTTATGAATTTATAAACTTTTATAAATAAAAAAATTAATCTGCAAAAAAACTATAAAACTAAGTTAAGAAACTGAAAGGTTTTCACAAAACACAATCTTTTATTTATTTATTTATTTATTTAGTTAGTTAGTTACAAAAATTTTCACTTTCTCCCCTACTTCCAATACCCTCCCACTAACCCTCTTCCTCTCCCTCTCCCTCTCCAGTCCTAAGATCAGTCAGTCTTTCCCGCCCTGTGGGTAGTCCAAGGTCCTCCCTCCATCCAGGTCTAGGAAGGTGAGCATCTAAACAGACTAGGCTCCCACAAGGCCAGTCCATGCAGTAGAATCAAAACCCAGTGCCATTTTCCTCTTACCTCTGATGTACTGGCTATTGATTGACCTGGAAGATGAAGGACTTTCTTTAGTTCTCTAACCACTATTAGTCCACAAAGCTTCAAGTCATTACTACTAATATTAAAACAGCACATTAATCAGAGTGGGTCATGAAAGAAAGTGAACAGGCATGAACAGGAGAAAGAGATTTGTTGGTTGGGGATAATAAACAGGGTTGTAGAAAGGGTGCCTGGGAATAAATGATATTCATGAACTATGTGTGCAAAATCATTTAAAAACAAGCTTAAATAATAAAAGGAACAAATAATTAACCAAAGCAAGTTATACTTGTAGTGGAGGACAGAATTCCCAACAATTTCAGATTTATTAGTGAGTAAACCATGAAATAAAATGTACATGTTTTAAAATCCTATAGAACAGACCACAATTTCTATCAATTTTCTCAGTCCATATTCAGTTTTAATTCCATATCACCACAGTAAAAAAATTTTTATGGTCTGGTAATCAGATGTATTTAGAAAAGGCCAGGATGATAGTTAAACTTAAAGAAAAAATGGATAGCATCAGCTACTGCTCTGAGTAAGAAGGATGCTTAGTATAGAAATGAGTAAAATTAACATTCCATAGCCACAGCTGTCTTTAGGATAAAACTACACTTTCCTAATGAAGTTACAGTAGGATAGTCACTTGTTACTTTATCTGCAATGGAAGTGAATTCATACAGATGCACGTAGAAATATGACTTGGTTGTAAACAGTAATAATATAGTGGAGAGTAAGAGAAATCATTCCATTTTATTGATTTCATTCTTTAAACACAAATGAAATAAATTGATGCTGTTGGGAAAAAGAAACATTATTTTGTAGTAATAATTATGTAAAGACAGTGCACCATATCTTTGCTTTTCTCGTTTGTAAAATGCCTCCTTCACTTATTTTTTAATATTTCCCTGGGGATTGAACACAAAGTATTCTGCAAGTTGACATGCTTGTGCCAGTTTTCTATCTTGTTGCTATTGATTTTAAATTTTGATTTATTTTTTTGAGTTGTATAGTTTATTTTTATTTTTAATATATTTTTGAGTGTGTATTTGTGGAACACAAGTGTACCATAAAGGGATTCAGAAAAGAATATGAAAGTCACCAGGTGTCACCAATTCCATTTACTAACTATATCATCTCACTGAAACTACACCTTTATTTTGACATGTTTAATAAATAAACACTCAATTAAGAATGTATGCTATGGAACATAGAGTTTTCCAAAGGTGACAATATTTAGAAGAAATAATTCAACAAAGGTCCTCATTATTTAGGGAAAATTAATTAGATCATTGTGTTTCTAGTGAAGAGTCTCAAATCTTCGGATGTATTTTAAGTGGTCAAGAATGTATTGGAGATGGGAAATGCATTTTCAAATTTCTCACACAGTGAGAAAGTGACCTTGATGGCATGGTCTTTTCAATGTTCTCTGTTGGGTAAGTTTTCAATGTATATTTTAAACAAGAATGTTTGCAGTTATTACAAATAGTTATGGTATGCATTATGTAGTTATTTAGAGCAGAGAATACAGTTCTAAATTGAAGGCAAATGTAATTGAGTCCCACAGTCATGATAGGGAACACACTGCGTACAGATAAGTTTGAATTATTATTTGTAGCATTTCCATATGAACAAACTGCCTGTTAGTACCTAGTTTCTGTGTGTCAGTTAGTATGTAGCTCCTTTCTGGAAGTAAGTAGGGGAGAAAGTGGAAATTTTTATAACTAACTAAATAAATAAATAAATAAAAGATTGTGTTCTGTGAAAACTTTTCAGTTCATTAACTTAGTTTTGGTAGTTTTTTTGCAGATTATTTTTTATTTTATTTTCTCCTCCTAGGAATATCTCATGGCAATTCCTGTATGACTTTCATGGAGAATATTTCAGAGGTGACTGAATTTATTCCTATGGGGTTAACAAATGCCCCAGAGCTTCAGGTCCCTTTATTTATCATCTTCACTCTAATTTATTTAATCACACTGGTTGGGAACCTAGGTATGGTCATGTTGATTCTACTGAACTCCAGACTCCACCCTCCCATGTACTTTTTCCTCAGTAACCTTTCCCTGGTGGACTTCATTTATTCCACAGCAGTCACTCCCAAATTAATGGAGGGGTTTCTCACAGAACACAAGGTCATATCCTACAATGCATGTGCTGCCCAGACATTCTTCTTGATAACGTTTGCCACTACTGAATGTTTCCTTCTGGCTGCAATGGCTTTTGTCCATCATGCAGCAGTGTGTAGACCTCTTCATTACTCAACCTCCATGAAGGGGACCACATGTGTCTTACTTGTTACCTGTTGTTACGTCTATGGATTTCTTCAATCCTCCATCCATGTTGCTTTTACTTTCCACCTCTCCTTCTGTCATTCCAATGTGATTAATCATTTTTTCTGTGATACCCCACCAATACTTGCTCTGTCTTGTTCTGATATTCACATGAATGATATTACAGTTTTTACTTTGTCAGCATTTGATGTTGATTTTGCACTAGTGATTATTTTGAACTCTTACATACTTATTTTCATTGCTATTTTGAGTATGAGTTCAACAGAGGGCCGTAAAAAGGCCTTCTCAACCTGTATATCACACCTCACCACTGTTTCTCTCTTCTGTGGGACAATCATATTCATGTACTTACAGCCAAGCTCCAGCCATTTCATGGACAAAGACAAAATGGCATCTATGTTCTATACAACAATCATACCTATGTTGAACCCTCTGGTCTACAGTCTGAGAAATAAAGAGGTCAAGAATGCATTTAAGAAGATTGCTAGAAAAGTACTCTTTTCAGTGGGCTTAGTAAATTAACTAAAATTTATTCAAGTCATGTGCAACTTTAATTGGACCTGCATTGTCTAAGAATATTTTTACTTGTAATTATTTATTATCTGTGATTTACATATGAAACTGAGGGAGGATTCCCCTCTATATGCTGTAAATATGTCTTACTACCACTGGTTAATAAAGGAGCTTCTTTGACCAATGGCAGGGCAGACTATAGCAAGGTGGGGTATCCCAGCATAGATAAAGAAAGAAGGTGGTGTCACGCACATGCCATGTAGCTGCTGGAGGAGATTGTGCGAGAACATTATCAGTAGGTCACATCCTTGTGGCAACATACAGATTATTAGAAATGAGTTAATTTAAAATGTAAGAGCTAGCTATGAATATGACTGAGCTGTTGGTCAAACAGTGTTATAATTCATATAGCTGTGTGATTATTCAGGTCTGGGTGAATAAACACAGAACAAAAATGGATAAGGAAATATGTGAATCTTAGCTTTTAGATGTTTCATAAGGATGCTCCAAACATTGCATGATATTTCAAAGACTACAGGTTATTCTCCACAACTTTTATAATGACAGCATTTACATAAATTGGAGGTTTCCCCTTGATCCATCACCTCCAAGATCAGTCCGGTCCATGGAAGAGGGTTAGAAAAGGCTGTAGGAGTCAGAAGACATGAATAATGTGGCCTACTAAATCAACTAATATGGATTCATATAGGTCACAGAGATTAAATTGGAAAGCACAGGACCTGCATAGTCTACATAAGGTCACTAAGTATGTATTACAGTTCTTAGCTTGGTGTTTTTGTGTTTTGGTAAGATTCCTAACAGGGAGAACAGATCATTATTTTTGATTGCTCTTATGATTCTTTTTCTCCTAATAGTTTGCCTTGGACAGAATTGGTATCAGAACTTTTCCATTTCTTACTGTGCCTTGTTTTGCCATTGTCTCTTGGAGTCCTGCTACTTTCTTAAGGGAAAAAAGGTGGAGTGGATCAGGCCAGAAAACAGGGTGGGAAGCATATAGGAGGAGAAGTAGGAGAACTTGTGGCGAGGACGTAATATTGTATGAGAGAAAAATCTATTTCAATTAAAAAAGAATTATGTGATATCAAGCATATAATCAATTAAAACCTCCACCAATACTAACTACAGGTAATGATCCTCAAGGTATTCTGCAAGCTAACACAGGAGATAAGTTCCTAAAAACCTCACATCAAAAAATAAAATCTATCAGAAGGAAAACAGCCCAAGAAAAATCAAAAGAGGTCCAGTTGCTAGTCCATGTAGGGCCCATAATGCTCCTTCTTTAGTTCTGAATTAATATATTTGCTCATGATGATTTAGACAGCCTTGTAGTCTTGACTTCCCCTGTATCTCTTACAATCCTTCTTCTTCCTGCTCTGTAGGGATCCCAGGAGCCCCAGGGATGGATTTGGTGGAGACATCCAATTTAGGGCTGAGTGTTCAAATTCTCTCACTTTATTCATAACGTCTGACTGTGGGCTCCTGTATTTTTCTCATCTGCTGTAGAAGGATCCTTTTATGAAAATAGAAATGCAAAACATTGAATGATAAGAAGATCATAATATCATTAGAACTCATTTTATTTCCAGATTGTTTTAGATCTGTAGTATTTAGTTTTGCACTAGTTCCATGGACTATGGAGTCTCGGGTTCTTGGTCACTCAAATAATCATAAAGTGGGCCTTAATTCACACCAGCCATTGGTTGGCTAGTACCACAAGCTCTATGCCACAATTTCACTAGTATGTTTTGCAGGCAGAACACAACTGTAGGCCAAAGGATTTATGACTTGGTTGGTGTTGGCTTCTATTTTGGTAGCATGCAAAATATCTTCCTGTAAAAAAAAAAGATGCTAGAATATATGAGTGAATGCTTTATGAGTAGAATGGAACTCTAATAGAGTACAAACTTTCTAATATATATACATTTATAAATGTGATCTAAATAAAATCAATGAACACTGTTGGACCCAACTGGACATCTCTTGAGACTAAATCATGTTACTTGCACTGAGTCTCATTTAAACTGAGTTGATGGGAAATGGGATCTAAGGGGAATCTTCAAACAACCCAGGGTATGGCTAAGAGGTTAATTGCTCTCTACATAATGGTGCAAAGGCTCATTCCTGAAAACAGCATCTATATACCTTACTGACCATGGAAATGCTAAACTTATATTAACATAAAATATCTTCTATGTTTTCTAGTAGCTATTGGAATTTAAAATTCCATCCTCATCTTAGTTTTACTCTTCTTCAATATTTCTATCTTCAGATGGAATTATATTCTAAGGTCTTGAATTGTCTTCGTTATTCAGGTCAAAATTGTGGTTTTGCTTTTATTACTCTGGTGATTGTTCTCCTTAAGTTCTATCTTTTTCAATTCATTTAACTTTTTCTTTGTGTCTTCCTTAAACATCCTGAATTCTTTGCAGAAGATTATAGTTTTTCTTGTAAGTTAGGTATTCTGATGTTCATAAAGAGAATTCCCAATTGGTAAGTATTTTAATGGGTAGATTTTGTGAGAAAGATGCTGGCTTAATCTTTCTTATTGTTGGTGTATTTGCAATATATATGGAAATGTGGATATGTTTATTTAGCTCTAAGACTGATATTGTCAGAACATGTAAGAGGAGAATGTAGGATTCATGAGAAGGTTGAGCCAAGGAGAAGGAAATACCTTGGGTAGAATGAGATCACATGGACAAAGGGAATTGAAATGGTGTTCAAAGGTTTCCTTATTGTCAGGCCCATAATATGGGACATTTATGGTTTGAAGGAAGTTGAACATGGTATAGAATATTCTTGTGTCTTTGTGGATATCTAGAAAGAGTCCTGGTAAAAGACTAGAGATCTTTTGAGATGCAGGGAAGAAGATGACACTAAAGCTAGACAATATGGTGGTAGAATACCGGGTTGATATGGTATTCTTTTGGAGGATGTGTAAATAAGTATGTCAGAGAGAGTCACCTGTCTATTCTCTATGTACTCAAGTGGGAATTTCAATGGTAGAGTAGTTGAAGTACAGAAGTTACCTAAAAAAGACTGCATTATTTTTGTGGGTTTAGCAGATGCCTCAAAGCTGCAGGTCTTTTTATTTGTCATCTTTAATTTATTGGATCACATTGGTTGGGAAACTTGGAAGTTTGGTGTTGATTCTTTTGGACTTCCAACTCCATATTCCTATGTACATTTTTCTCATTAAGCTCTCCAGTGTGAATGGTGTTTCTGCTTCAGCTGTCACTCCCAAGGTAATAGAAGGGTTTCACACAGGAGATAAGATCCGACATTAGATGGACATTGAGACAGAGATCCAGATTGGAGCACTGGACTGAGCCCCCAAGGTCCAAATGAGGAGCAGAAGGAGGGAGAACCTGAACAAGGTAGTCAGGACCGTGAGGGGGGCATTCACCCACTGATACAAGGGGACTGATCTAATGAGGGCTCACTAAGGCCAGCTGGACTGGGACTGAACGAGCATGTGATCAAACCGGATTCTCTGAATGTGGCTGACATGGGGGCTGTCTGAGAAGCCATTGATAATGTCACTGGGACTTGTTTCTTTTGCATGTACTGTTTTTTTGGGATTCTAGTCTGTTTGGATGCTCACCTTTCTAGACCTGGAGGGAGTTGGGGAGGAACTTGAACTTCCCACAGGGCAGGAAATCCTGACTGCTCTTAGGACTGAAGAGGGAGGAGGAGAGGGAGTGGGGGGAGCGGGAGGGTATTGGGAGGAGGGGAGGAAGTAGAAATTTTTATAAATTAATAATAATAATAATAATAATAATAAAATACGTTAGCAAAAAAGATTCTTTACTAAAATGTATGCACTTTTTAAATGTTCTTCTTTGATACTATTAAAAGTTTCATCCCAGAATTAATGGTCTTTGACCATCATGCAGTAGTGTACAAATGCTTGCATTACTCCACTACAGAACAATTACAATGTGTGCCCTGCTTGTTGCTAGTTTTTACATGAATGGAATCTTGTAATCTTCCATTTATGTGTTCTTCACTTTCCAACTTTCCTTCTGTAATTCCAATGTAGTGAATCAAATATTTCTGTGATTCTCATTACTCATTTTTTCTTACTCTTTATCTATACAAATGAAATTGTGCTGTTCATGTTAGCAGCGTTAAATGTTGCTATTACCTTATTGGTTATCTTTATGTCTTACTTACTTATGACAAGAACTTTAAAATTTTTGAAGAAAGAAATTGAAGACACCAGAAAGTGGAAAGATTTCCCATGCTCTTGGGTAGGCAGAATTAACATAGTAAAAATGGCAATCTTACCAAAAGCAATCCACAGATTCAATGGATTTGATGGCAATGCCCATCAAAATCCCAGAAAATTCTTCACAGACCTCGAAAAAATGCTGCTCAACTTCATATGGAAAAGAAAAAATGCAGCATAGCCAAACCAATCTTGTACAATAAAATAACTTCTGGAGGCACCACAATTCCTGACTTCAAACTCTACTACAGAGCTACTGTTTAGAAAACAGCATGGTTTGGCATAAGAACAGACAGGAGGACCAATAAAACTGAATAGAAGACCCGAATATTAATCCACAGATACAAAGACATTTAAGGAATTGCTCAACATCCTTAATCATCACAGAAATGCAAGTCAAAATAATTCTGAGGTAATATGTTACACTGTTAGAATGGCTAAGATAAAAAACAATGAGGACAGCTTATGTTGCAGAGGATGTGGAGTCAGAAAACACTCTTCCAGTTCTGGTGGAAGTGTAAACTGGTCTAGACACTTCGAAAATCAATATGGAGTTTTCTCAGAAAATTGGGAATCAATCTCCCTCAAGAACCAGCGATATTCTCCTGGGTATGTTCAATGGATGCTCAATCATACCACAAGGACACTTTCTCAACAATGTTTATAGTATCCAGAGCCTGGAAACAATGTATATGTAACTCAACTGAAGAATAAAGAAAATGTAGTACATTTGCACAATGACGTATTACTCATCTGT